TTATTTATTTATTTATTTATTTAATCAATCAGTCAGTCAGTCAGTCAGTCAGTCAATCAATCAATCAATCAATCAATTTATATAGCTGCCCATCCCACCGCAGGCGACTATGGATGGTGTACAACAAAGCTAAAAACAGTAAAATACATGAAAAACATATAAAACAAAATAAAACAGAGAATGAAGGGAAGTTATATTGTAGCTAGGCTAAAATTGGAGGATGGGGAGGTGGTGCGGAGTTCCATCTCTCTGATCAGAAATTCCATTTGACTTTTTGAAAAATTTTGAATGTTTGGGGATGCTACATTTTGGTGGCCGAGATAGTTGAAAAGAGTATACCATCTGCCCACTATATAACAATCTCTTTTCCTGCGCTACCTTAGGTGATCTCTGGTGTAGCATTGGACTTTTCTGGACACTTTGTTTTGGATATTTTATTGTCCATATTAAGGATGTTCAGTCAGAAGTGTTTCATGATTTCATGTCTGCCATGACAACCATAGACCTGTTCCAATTGATATCTGGCCCCACACATGCATCAGGACACACATTGGATTTGGTGTTCTGTTTGGTTGGTGTTGGCAACCTAAAAATGGAGGAATTTTCTGTAACTTCATTGCCATGGGTAGATAACTCTCTAGTCAGTTTTAGCTTGGCAAGTGAGCACTTGAGCAATTCATCTGTTTGCAATGCTTTTGAAGCCCTGGCCAGTTCATGGAATATAGATGTGGCCTGAGTGGTTTGCACTGTTACTTCTAAGTGTCCTCTTTGTTCTTGCAGAGCTCACCTGGCTCCTTGGTGTTAAAATGATGAAGCAAAGGGTAAGGGCACAAATAGTGTAACTCGTGCAACAAATTGGATTGAACATTGAATGGGGCCTTTCTTCAGGCCCATTTAAATGTCTACTGTGTGGTTGTCAATTTGGCAAAGAGGTTCAGTTTCTGCGACTCTACCACAGTTGCACTCCCAGAGATGAGGCAATCCAGAACTTATAGAGCCTCTCTGACAGCAGTGTTCAATATCTTGTGCAGACATATATTCATTAAATTAATATCTGACTCTTATTTTTTTACAGTTTAAGGCAGTGTACACAATGTTCTTTTCCTCCTATTTTCCTGAAAACAAAGTCTCAGTTTGGACTCCAACATTGATATAGGTCATAGGTAATTGTTAGGTTCATATCAGTTCCTTTCAACTTGTAGATCCTGAAAAAGTGAACCAGATATGGCCACTACTTGCCTACCAAACTGATTAGGTCTGGTCTCATCGTTAAGGAAGGAAAGACTTGTTCCTGAATTGTAAAGCCTGGTCTGGATGAGATTGTACTCTTTCAGAAGAAGCAAGTACACAGTTTGGGAATATTCCATGATCCCCAGCTGCCATTGGATTTGAAGTGGCATCTATGACAAAAAGTATGTTTGCACAATTACAGTTAGAGCACCAACTGTGACTCGTCCTTTTTTTTATAGCAATTTTATTAAAAATTACAATTACAAAGATAAAAATTAAGATAAACTAAAAATGAAAAAAAGAAAAAAGGAATTGCAGAAAAGAATAAAATAGAAAAAGAAAAAAGAAAGAAAAAATAATATAGTAAAAAAATATATAAAGAAACAACTTCACCCTTCATCAAAGTATAAACAATTTTAGTAACTTATCACGTTCTCTTAAAATATAACAAATGATGTCTTCTTCCCATATCCCATCTCTTGTCTATAAACAAATCCTTAAAGCCTTGTTGTTTCAGTCCTGATCACCAAAAGTCCATTAAGGGTTACGTGAGATAACAACATATCTATTTAACCTTGATCAAATAAGCCAACTTTATATTCCTTCCTTTTAACAATCTTGATCTTTAGTTCCTTCAAATAATGCCCTAGAACTTGATTTCTTTTCATTTTTTCTTTGTCCCTTCTCACAAAATTCTTCAAAGCTTTAAAAAGGCTCTTTTGTAAATCCAATATAGGAAAATTATCCAGGTCACCCTCTTGGTTGTTATTTGTATATCTCTTTTAATTATTAAGATATCAGCCGGTTCCTTTTGTATGTCCAGTGTAGCATCTTTTCCAAATCATTCTTGTAGCCTGTCATTTTTGAATCCACTTTCAAATTAGTCTCAGTCTTGTCAGATAAAACTTGTTCCTCTTTCATAGCATCTTTTAAACACAGTCTATCTATAGAGGCAGACACTATTAAAATTAACTTCTGGATCCATTGTTCAAAAATATCCTTCAATATGTCCAATGTAAAAATATTTTGCTTCATTCTGTATTAGTAAGTTAAATTTAAGTGTTTTTCTCCTTCAATTGTAATCTTTAGGTCCTTCTGGTTCCCTCTAGTGTCCAACATTCAAAGTCTCATCCATCATGCTTTTTTTTTTTTAAAGAAAATTCAAAATGAAAACATTTTCCCATGGGAAGGATTCTTATAATTAATTCAAAAATCTTATTTCAAATTTCAAAACCATCTGGACCCTTCGTCCATTTGTAACGTTCCAAAATCAAAGTTCTAATCATCCTTTTGCTGTTTATTCCCCTTCCCCCCGGCAATTTTTTTTTAGTCCTTAAACTTGTACTTGAAACTTTTTTTGCTGAGGATTAAAGGAAACTCACCCAATGCTATAAAAATTGTCAATCCAAAGGTTCCTATTTTCTGAAAAGCAGTTAACAAGCAATTTCCAAAAGTGATTAGAAAAGGAAGTGTATGAACTCAGTGTTCTTAAAGTGCCGACCATGGTTTGAGCAAAATAGATATTCCCTCTTCTCCCAGAGCTCTAAACCCACCGGAGACCGCTGTCCGCTTTTAGCAGAGCTGTCTTTAGTTCACCATTTCTTCCCCGGAAGTCTCCAACTGTGACTTGTCCTGAACTGACCAGACTTAATGATAATTATCTATATTTTCATCATAACCAGTCTAGATTATTGCACTGTACATGAGGCTGTGTTTAAAAGAATCCAGAAATTGCACTTCTACAAAATTTTGTGGATAGGTTGCTGACAGGTGAAAGCTACAGGAATCATGATTCCTTTACTGGAAGATCTGTGCTGGTTAGCAATTGCCTACCAGGCACAATTCAAGATTTTGATACTGATCTTTAAAGCCCTACTCAGGTTAGAGCCTGATTATTTGCTGAAGTACCTCTCCCACAATAAACCTGCCTGTTCCCTCAAATCAACAGGAGAGACCCTTTTGAAGATATCCCCCATCTGGAGGTTTGTCTATCCAATACATGGGAAATGGTTCTTCCTGTGTGGCTCTCCATCAGTGGCATAAATTCTCTAAGGAATTGTGCTTCGTGCTTCACCACCAAGAAGTTGGTGAAAACATCTCTTTTCTGCCAGACCTTTAATTGTTAATTTATTCTATTTAATGCTTGTTTTTATCCAGATTTTAATTATATTAATTTTAATTTAACTTTAATATTTATATTGTTGTAAGCTTCTTTGATTGCCAGATGGATAGGCTAGAGTAGAAATCCATGAATGAATGAATGAATGAATGAATGAATGAATGAATGAATGAATGAATGCTTTTCCTCTTCCCATTCAGTTTATGACATATTTTTGAGGAAACTTGCAATGCATGAAAAAAGGATTAGTGGATACATTTATAGAGTTAATGGATGTTGAATTAACTTGGAATAAACACTTGGCAAGTTAACAAGGAAGCCAAATATCCTATCATACCAGATACGAGTATTCCAAATTCAATTGCTGTGCTCTGGTGATAGAAAGTAAAATCAGAGAATATCTGCCTCTGTCATGTCAACAAGGACCATTACTTCTTATCAACTCATAACTAGGTTTTATTTTGTAGTGCCGGTTTGAAGAGAGAAGAATCATAGTTTCTGTTGACAGTTATAACAGCTTCCAATACTAACCTCATAGAGAATAACTGCAGCCACTGTGTAAATCATACTGTATGTGAACCTGCTTATAGCTATTCCCATATATTCTTTAGCAGAAATGAGCAATTTTTTGGATGAGATTCTCAGTATAAAGTAATACGTGGCTACAGATTGCTCTTTGGCTGCTTCTGAGTAAGGGTCACATGGAAACCAAAACAATACCACGTTGAGTGTTCTATTCAGTGTTTAATGTCTGAACAGGCTCAACAATTGAACCAACTTTGTGCCAAAATCTGCTCTTCAGTATTCCCAGCTTTAATTTTCTTATGAAAAAAGTATTTTCCTTTCACATTTTCAGGATAATTCAACGTACATATTTTTAGAATTTGAGGCATATTACTGATAGCAGAGGATGCTGTTGTTGCATTTTGCTACAGGACTCTCCATTGCTCTGCAGCCTGCCTATTTTCTGCCCTGAATGAATCAAAAGGAATAAGTTTGCTCATTATCACTTCAATTGGAATTTGAGGCTACATAAACCAGAGGCTGCAGTCGGTTGAAGAGGAAAGTTAGGGCAATTCTTCAGTGACTTTGTGAAGAAGGTAAGTGACAGAATTCCAGAGCACCCATGAGATTTTCTTTTTCCATCAGATTTGTCACTTGCCAAGATACATGACCTGCAGGATTGTTTCTAGAGGCTAGCCATTTTTAATTTTCTGCAGCAAAAACAAGGGTTGAGGTACCTTAAAGATTATGTGATACGTTATCATATGTAGTTTTGTGTGGTATATAGGAAGGTTGGAAAAGTAGTAAGTCCTTATTTGACTGAAATTTATCATGCTACTCCCAGGCCGTATTCAACCTGATCTGGCATTTCTGTAAGTGTTAAGTACTACGAAACTAAGTACAAGTGCTAAGACTTGTAACAAACAAAGGCAGCTGCAATTAATTTTAATAGCAAAAATAGTTTTTACAACTTTTATTTTAGTAAGAGTGAAGCATGAATGAAGCTATATTTAATTTCGTCTCAAAGTACACTTCTATTAAATGAGTCATACTTCCACCTTTACTCTTTTTTTCTACGCTGCATTAATGCCTTTTCACAGTGTTGATGTAGTAAGGTGTTTTCAGGTTCTATTTATTTTTATTTTATTTAGCATATTTATATAGCTGCCCATCTCACAAACACAAAATTAACATTTATTTCAACCTAGAGTCCTAACATTTTCTGCCCTCAGTTTTGCTGTGCTCCAATACTGCTGGAAAATGTGGGTTTTAAAAGAAGAAACACTTTTGTTAATATTGAGAAAAAGGTTGAAAGGAGTTTTCTCCTTTAGCACTTGTCTGAAATGCTTTAAAGTGATGCAAAATGCTTTATGATGGTATATGACACCATGTAGTTTCTTTCAGGAAAGAAAATCCAATTTGTTCAATGGCATAAATATCTTTCACTGTAACTTGCTTTTCACAGATCTAATAGTGATCAGGATTGCATGCAATAATTATGGTCATAGCATATTATAAAGGCATTACAGAACTGAAGTTTGTTTTTTCTATTCCTTTATTAAAGATTGCCAGTATGAAACTTACTGTTTTACAGTAAGCAGACATTGAGGTGGTATTCTAATTGAGCTGTTTACCATGGCTCCAAGACTCTTTCTTTGTCATTTAAAGTTAGATTTTTTTTTTACAATAACAAATACATAATTTTATACTTGCTTGAACTGAACCACCGATCCAATTTTTATGCATTTTGAAAAAAAAAAATTGGAACTGTTCAATGCACCCTTTTATCACCAATTACTGCATATAATTTGGAGTCTTCAACAAATTTGGCCCTAGCTGGAGCTTATGTATTTTATTTTATTTATGCTTATTTGTATACCA